AAAAAAAACAGATTTACTGGCAGAACCATACATGAAAATAGAAGAAAGAAGTCTGGAAAAAAAAAACTAATACAGCCATCATATCAAAGAATTGGGTAACTCAATTAATAAATTTTTTGTTTTTTGGGGTTTAATACGCTTTATAGTGATGGCCATTTTCTTTTTTATGGCTTTTTACCCGTTTTCCCCTACACAAAAATTTGGGCTGGGTGTAGTCAAACACATTTTTTTTTTCTGATTGTTTTACAGCTTTACATTTTATTGCAAAAAGCTAACATAGCCGGGTTTTTCAAAAGTTTTACCTTAATTACCCCACAAATACTGTACCCTGCAATACATACAACAAACGAGACCCCGTGCCAAATCCATACAGCTAGTGCAGCATTTATCCACGGGGTGCAAAAAGGGGGTGAAAACCACTTAAACCTAAAAATTTAAAGGACCCTCTGCACACGGTAATACCCTTTTCCCGAAAACTATGCAATAAAAAGGGATATTTAGTTCCACATATTCAATACATGCTTAACTGGCCAACTGCGTCAAATAACCCCTCAAAGGGCCATAGTTTTTTTTAAAGGGTATAACCATGGGCAGGGGGCCCTTTCAAATTTTCTAGATTTAATGGGGTTACACCCCTTTTTTAACCCCTGAGGAAAAAGGGACTAGCTGTAAGGATTTGACAAGGGATCTCTTTTTTTGATTTTTGGGGGAAAAGGTTTGTTCCCCCCTTGGCCTTTTCCCCCCGTGTTGTGTTCCTACCTTCCTTTCGGAAGGGCTGGCCATAAAATTTTTTGCCTTCCCTTCTTTTTTAAAAATTTTGGCTAAAAATTTCCTTTTTTGTATTTGCTTAAAGGGGTTTTGGCTCCTTAGTTTTCCGAAACAAATTTTTTTTAATGAAAATTTTATTTAAAAAATAAACCTCAAGCATGCATGGAAAGTTTTAATAAACAAAATTTTTAAAATTTTTTGGGGGGCCCCAAAAAAAAATTTAAATTTAAAAAACATTTCCATTTTTTTTTTTTTGACCCGGGGAACATAAATTAAAAAAGAATCCCAAATAAAAAATGCCCCCCTTAACCCCCACAAACCAACAACCACCCCTACACCAAACATACAACAATCCCTACTAAATGTAAGGGGGGGGGGGGGGGCCCGGCGGGGTGTGGGAGGGGGCCCCATCCCCCATTCCCCCAAAAGCTTTGTGCTTTTTCCCCGGGTCCCAACTGAAAAAACCCCCCCCCCCAAACCCCAATTTGCACACCCCCCCCCCCCACCTCGACCCCGGGGCCCCCGGCTGATTCGACCGTCCATCCCCTAAAAACTGTCGCACCCCCCTTTTTGGGCCAAAATTTATGGTCCAAAATATGTGCAGGGTTTTTTGGGGCCCGGCAAAAGTTCCTCAATGGGCTTTTTCCGGATCCCTCCTTTTTCAAAAATCTTTTCCTTCCTTTTACCCAAAAAACTTTTTCCTGGCAATTTTTTTAATTTTGGGAAAAAATTTTTTGTTTTGGGTCAAAAAATGGGGGCTCCCAACCCCAAACCAAATTTCCCAGTCAATCCCCGCACCCGTTGGGGTTTTAAAACCTTGGGGGCTCTTTTGTCCCTTTTTTTTTGGGAGTTGCAAGGAATTAGAAACTTTTCTTCCACCAATTGCAATAAGGTTTGGCCCCCCAATCCTAAGGAAAGATGGTTTAAAAGAAAAATTTTATTTTAGGGGACTTATAATACTTCCCCCTATGGGTTTTTGTTTGGTTCTATGAATTAGCTTGCACAATCCCAAAAACCAAAATTCTTTTTTTAGGAAGAACAGGGGTCCCATTAAACATTTAAAAAAAAAAAAATTTAAAAACCGGGGGAAAAAAAAAAACAAAAAAATTTACCCCCCCCTTTCACAAAGGTTCAAGGGATCGCAAACGGGAAAGGCAGTGAGCCCACACCAGGGCCCAATCATGCTAAAAAAAAGCTCAAAAATTTTAACCTGTAAGAAGTGGGGCCCCCGGGGGACAATCTGGGAAAAGATAATTTTATCCAGACAGGGGCAAACAATTTTTGGGATTTCAACAAAACTGAACTTAAAACCCCCCATCCCCCTTTTTATTTCCCCACCCGGGTCCCTTGTTTAGCGTGTGCCTGGCATCCAGCCCATCACCTGGAGGAGGAACTGCTGTGTGCCTGGCTGAGGACATAAAACTGTGCGCCAGGCTCCAAACCCATCATCTGCAATAGGATCTGCTGGAGTCAATCACTCCAAGCAGGCTCTGCTGTGTGCCCGGCTTCCAGTATATCACCTTGGGGGAACTGCTGTGTGCCTAGCATCCCGTTCATTACATAGAGGAGTTGCAGAGGAATTAGAGAGGAACTCTTGTGCACCTGCCATCCAGTACGTTAGCTGGAATAGGATCTGCCGCGTGCCAACTCCATCACCTGGAAGAACTGATGTGTTCCTGGCACCCGAATATTACTTGGAGGAGGATCTGCTATATACCTGGCACTGAGTCTATGACCTGAAAGAGCAACTGTGTTGTGCCTGGCTGGACATAGAACTGTATGCTTGGCACCAACTCCATCACCTATAAGAGGGTCTGCTGTGTGCCTGGCTGAGGATAGAACAGCGTGCCTGGCATTGGGGGAGATCATTAAAAAAAAAAACCTGTGTGCCCAGCGTGCAGTGGATAGGGTAGAACCAAGCACAGGAGAGGATTGGTGGACACTGCGCGCACCTGGCACAGGAGAGGATTGGCAGGGAGGGACTCAAGCAAACAGGGCCACTGGTGCAGTGTAGCCTACTGGGAGCACAGGACCCGAATCAGTCGCTTCTATACAGTGTGACAGTCATCAGTAAGCATCTTCTATGACCTGCCTCAAGAGAGTGGCTTCTGCCTGGGCCAGCTAAGTCTGGAGAACTGCAGTAAGGGTGCAGTCAGGACACGGGGCAAGACTAGACTTGGCATTGTGCTAAGCAAGAAGCCTGATGGAGTGTGGCTTATAAACTGCAGCGGCCATCCCATCTTTGTCGATGCTGGATGGCCCCACCTGTCGCTCACTTGTTGTACGCAAGGTGATGCCCGGCTTCCCTCTGAAAGTTTTTTACTTTAAAAAGTTGTGTATCTTGCAGCATCTCCCGGCGCATCCAGAATACATGGATGGACTTTATGATCCCCACAACATATGCATTAGTTTTGCCAGGGTTGGGGACAATGCTACTCAAGACAGATGATCACTACTTGCCCCTGCTGGCTCGAGGTCTTACTTGGACGATAGCAGCCAGTCTTTTGAGCCCTGATCCCCATCAACTGATGTATAAATATAGAAGGATGTGTACTACTGTGAGCAGACATGTGAGCTGGTAAAGTCCCTTAGTAAAGCCCTTTTCTGCAAGAGAGGTATGTGTTACCCCCGATTGGCATCATCCACCTCTGTGCCCTAGGAAGGGGTTTCCAGCAACATTATATATGAGGAGTCTACAAACCTTCTAAATAAAGGTCTGGTTTACGCTCTTTTAGATATTATGGGGGTCAGGTTATGGCCAGTGGGGGGTAGAACACAGCCTGGCATCAGTGGGAATAAACAAAGATCAGTAGAAGTAAAACAATTGCATAGCGGCTGTGGTCAGTACGAGGAGGCATCATGAGGCTGGAATAGTGCTCTACCATTGGTATCATTGGAAGGAATAGTGCCCCATCATTGGTATTAGTAGCAAGAATAGTACCCCATCATTGGTATCACACGGAGGAATGGTGCCCCATCATTGGTATCACTGGGAGGAATGGTGGCCACATCATTGGTGTCCATGGGAGGAATAGTGCCCCCATCATTGGTATCACGCCGAGGAATGGTGCCCCATCATTGATATCAGTGGGAGGAATATTGCCCCATCATCGGTGTCCGTGGGAAGAATGAGCCCGCATCATTGGTGTCCGTGGGAGGAATAGTGCCCCATCATTGGTGTCCGTGGGAGGAATAGTGCCCACATCATTGGTATCAGTGGGAGAAATGGAGCCCCCATCATTGGTGTCCATGGGAGGAATAGTGCCCACATCATTAGTATCAGTGGGAGGAATAGTATCAGGTACCTGGTGATGGAGGCCAATGGAGAGAGGGTGTCAGGGCTCCCAGGTGTGACCAGAGGTGTGTGACTGACGCAGGGAAACGCAGACTTCAGATATGTGATAAACAATATAATTTATTAACACTAACAATACAAACATAAATGCAGTGCAATACTAAACATAATACAGTGCAAACAAACCAAACCAACCACCCACAGATAACAGTACATACAAGCAAGCGTCGTCAGGCAGGCCGGGTCAATATCAATAGGGCAGGTAGGTACAGGGGGAGCAAGCGGAGATTGGTCGGGGTCACAGGCCAGGTTCAGCAGGTAGCAGGCAGCGTAGTACAGAGGGTCAGGCAGAGGGATGGTCAGACAAGCCAGGGATCAGAACAGGTAGCAGAGAATCAGACAGGAACAGAGAGCAGGAACAGGATACAGGGCCCAAGAGAAACACAACACCAAGGCAGAGTCTGCAAGTCTGGCCATCCCTTAAATACCCCAGCATAATCAGTTCCAGGTGTTAGCTGGCTGCAAAGTTGAGTCTCTGATTGCTGGGAGCATCCGCTGGCCAGCCCTGGTACTGCAGATCAAAAGGCAGGTGAGTCCCACCATTGCTGGCTAGTCCATTCCTGACAGTACCCCCCCCTCAAGGAGCGGCCTCAGGACGCTCCAAACAGTCCTAGCTGGGCAAAATGTTCCACCGCCCTGGTCTGGTAACTGGCGGGATATCAAGACTGGCACACCGGGCAGGACTCCGGGCAGGGGCACACGGGCAGGGGCACACCGGGCAGGGGCACACCGGGCAGAGGCACACCGGGCTGGACTCCGGGCAGAGGCACATCGGGCTGGACTCCGGGCAGAGGCACATCGGGCTGGACTCCGGGCAGAGGCACATCGGGCAGGACTCCGGGCAGAGGCACATCGGGCAGGACTCTGGGCAGAGGCACATCGGGCAGGACTCCGGGCAGAGGCACATCGGGCAGGACTCCGGGCAGAGCACATCGGATTACCAGGCGAAGAGCAGCAGGCAGGCAGCGGGCCACCGGGCGGAGCGGCAGGCAGCGGGCCACCGGGCGGAGCGGCAGGCAGCGGGCCCCCGGGCGGGGCGGCAGGCACCGGGCCCCCCGGGGCGGGGCGGCAGGCACCGGGCCCCCAGGAGGGGCGACAGGCATCGGGCCCCCAGGAGGGGCGACAGGCATCGGGCCCCCAGGAGGGGCGACAGGCATCGGGCCCCCAGGCGGGGCGACAGGTCTTGGGCCCTCAGGCGGAGCAGCGGGCGCCGGACCCCCAGATGGAGCGACAGGTCTCGGGCCCCCAGGCGGAGCGGCGGGCGCCGGACCCCCAAGTGGAGCGACAGGTCTCGGGCCCTCAGGCGGGAGCGGCGGGCGCCGGACCCCCAGGTGGAGCGACAGGTCTCGGGCCCCCAGGCGGAGCGACAGGTCTCGGGCCCCCAGGCGGAGCGGCGGGCGCCGGACCCCCAGATGGAGCGACAGGTCTCGGGCCCTCAGGCGGAGCGGCGGGCGCCGGACCCCCAGGTGGAGCGACAGGTCTCGGGCCCTCAGGCGGAGCGGCGGGCGCCGGACCCCCAGGCGGAGCGACAGGTCTCGGGCCCCCAGGCGGAGCGACAGGTCTCAGGCCCCCAGGCGGAGCGGCGGGCGCCGGACCCCCCAGGTGGAGCGACAGGTCTCGGGCCCCCAGACGAAGCGGCGGGCACCGAGTCACCAGGCACGACAGCGGGCACCGAGTCGTCTGGCAAGACTGCGGGCACCGAGTCGTCTGGCAAGACTGCGGGCACCGAGTCGTCTGGCAAGACTGCGGGCACCGAGTCGTCTGGCAAGACTGCGGGCACCGAGTCGTCTGGCAAGACTGCGGGGGCACAAGACGAGTCGTCTGGCGGAACAGCGGGCATCGAGTCAACTGGCGGGACTGCGGGCACCGAGTCGCCTGGCAAGACTGCGGGCACCGAGTCGTCTGGCAAGACTGCGGGCAAGACTGCGGGCACCGAGTCGTCTGGCAAGACAGTGGGCTCCGAGTCAACAGGCACGACAGTGGGCACCGGGTCATCAGGTATCGGATTGTCTGGCTCGACAGCGGGCATCGGGTCACCAGGTATGACAGCGGGCACTGGGTCACCAGGCATCAGGTCATTTGGCTTGCCAGCGGGCACCGCGTCATCTGGCAAGGCAGTGGGCACCGGGTCACCAGGTATGACAGCGGGCTCTGAGTCAATTGGCACGACAGCGGGCACTGGATCAGGTACCGGATCATCTGGATCAACAGCGGGCATCGAGTCAACTGGCCTAATAGGATCGTCGGGCTGGATCAGTTCATCATGCTGAGTAGCGGCATCAGGCTGAATGCAGGCATCAGGCCGAGTAGAGGCTTCAGGCTGAGTAGAGGCTTCAGGCTGAGTAGAGGCTTCAGGCTGAAGAGAGGCTTCAGGCTGAAGAGAGGCTTCAGGCTGAGTGGAGGCTTCAGGCTGAGTGGAGGCATCAGGCTGAGTAGAGGCATCAGGCTGAGTAGAGGCATCAGGCTGAAGAGAGGCATCAGGCTGAAGAGAGGCATCAGGCTGAAGAGAGGCATCAAGCTGAAGAGAGGCATCCGGCTGAAGAGAGGCTTCAGGCTGAGTAGAGGCTTCAGGCTGAGTAGAGGCTTCAGGCTGAGTCACGGAAGGCAGGTTCACCGGTTTGGATACTGGCAGGATGGTATTGGTTGGAAAGAATTTTCGCTTTTTTCTGGTTTTAACTACTGGAGCACTGCAAGTAAACGCAGGTCTGCAAACAAATGGAGCAGCTGGAGACAGAGAAAAACTGGAGGATGGAACAGGGGAGGGAGCAATTGCTACAGAGGACTTTTTTACAGGGTTAAAGGCAGGATAGGTGCAGCGAGTGGGAACAGGGTACTGACATGCGGTAGATAGCCAAGTATACTGGGCTGTAACTGGAGGAGCTGGTGGGAATACAGGAGTAGAGTTAGAAGCAGGACTGGGTTTTTGTAAGCTGACTGAGGCTGGGTGCAACAAGTCTGTCCATGTCTGCAGTATGGGTTGAACAAAGCTGAGCTTACACAAAGCCTGTCTGGTCAATGACTGCACTGCGTTTATACAATCTCTTAGTGTCTGTGGTGAACATGTGGAATAACGCTCCAGAAAGTAACCCACATCATCCTCTAATAACCACACCAGGGACTCTACCTGGTCTGCACTAAATGGTGGCAAAAATTCATCCCTGCATTCGGGGGAACCAGATGAAACCAACTCAGCACAAACCTCAATCAATGGCTGCACCTCAGAGAACTCTGTGCCCTGATCTACTAGAACATGAGCGAGCCGTATACATTCTAGTAGTTCATCCCGGGGATACTCCTTCAGAGTTTGATAAGCATACTCCCTGTCATCAAACACTAGCAGATATAAATACACAACCTCATCCAGATCCATCCTTCCCAGCAACAAGCCAAGATGGCTTCCCTGTGCAGCCACTTCTGGTCAGGAATGGCCTTGGTGTAATGTCAGGGCTCCCAGGTGTGACCAGAGGTGTGTGACTGACGCAGGGAAACGCAGACTTCAGATATGTGATAAACAATATAATTTATTAACACTAACAATACAAACATAAATGCAGTGCAATACTAAACATAATACAGTGCAAACAAACCAAACCAACCACCCACAGATAACAGTACATACAAGCAAGCGTCGTCAGGCAGGCCGGGTCAATATCAATAGGGCAGGTAGGTACAGGGGGAGCAAGCGGAGATTGGTCGGGGTCACAGGCCAGGTTCAGCAGGTAGCAGGCAGCGTAGTACAGAGGGTCAGGCAGAGGGATGGTCAGACAAGCCAGGGATCAGAACAGGTAGCAGAGAATCAGACAGGAACAGAGAGCAGGAACAGGATACAGGGCCCAAGAGAAACACAACACCAAGGCAGAGTCTGCAAGTCTGGCCATCCCTTAAATACCCCAGCATAATCAGTTCCAGGTGTTAGCTGGCTGCAAAGTTGAGTCTCTGATTGCTGGGAGCATCCGCTGGCCAGCCCTGGTACTGCAGATCAAAAGGCAGGTGAGTCCCACCATTGCTGGCTAGTCCATTCCTGACAGAGGGCTTCCCTTGCGGCTAAGTTCCAGACTCCCCTGAGAGTGGGACAGCGGGAGTCAGGCCCAAAGTGGCACAGGTCACCTGTAGGAGTGCTTGTTGGTGGTCCACCCAGGAGCACAGCTTATGCACGGAGATGAGGTCTGCAGACAGATGGCGCCTGTGAGAGGTATGCAAGCCCTTCAGGAATAGAGGATTACTGGATAGCCAATTCAAGCCAAGGTCAGGTACCAGGTGGGAATCAGAGCAGACGTAGTCAGATGGGATAGCTGAGGTCATACACCGAGGAGCAAGAGAGTATCCGTTAGCCAAGCCGAGGTCAGATCAGGGGTAAAGTAGAGTAGACAGGTCCAAGAGCAAGCCGAGGTGGTATCAGGAAGTCACAGGTCACGATAACACAGGAAACAGGAACCAGGAACAAGGTACAGGGAGCTAGAGGTCATCCAGCAACTTGAGGGAGTGAAGAGCCTTCTTATAAAGGCCGCTTGGCGCCAAAACTGGGCCTGATGTGTGCATTTCTGCGGCCATGTAGGGTACTGGTGGAAATGCCCGGTCTTCCAGGACTTCTGCCGTGGATAGGACCCTGGGAGTGCCTCCCCCTAAATGGCAGCCTCCAGATGCCCACCTGGACCATCTTTTCAGGATACTTGGAAAGGAATTGTTGGAGAAGCCCGGGGGCATGTACATTGCCTTTTGGTTCCCAGGAACTTTCTTCAGGTGGGTACCCCTTCCATCTGACCAAGTACTGGATTTGTCTTCCCCACCTTCTGCAGTCTTGAATTGCTTCAACCTCATATTCTACTTCCTCCCCAACTGTTTTCGGCGGAGGAGGTGGTGCTACTCTCCCTGGAAATGGATCAGGAACAGCTGGCTTGAGTAAGGAGATGTGGAAAACTAGATGAATCTTGTATGATTCAGGAAGAAACAGCTTATATGCCACGGGATTAATTTCCCTCTTGATTCGAAAAGGGCCAATGTACCTTGGTTCCAACTTTCGTGATGGGCAAGGGAGTTTTAGGTTGGCAGTTAACAGCCAAACTTTGTCTCCGATCTTCAGAGAAAGGTTTCCTCTCCATTTCCTGTCATAGTGCTTCTTATAGTCAGCCTGGGATTTCTGTATAGACTTTTGGAGAACTCTATAGTTGTTTTGTATCATGGACAGTCTGTCCTGTACTGCGGGTACTGTAGCTTCAGGTATGGTGTCCGGTGTGCAGGAAGGGTGGAATCCATAATTGGCCCAAAATGGTGACTGGTTCGTAGCTGAATGGATTGAGTTGTTGTAGGCAAACTCCACCAATGGGAGTAGGGATGCCCAATCATCCTGGGAAAAAGCAGAGAAGCACCGTAAGTATTGCTCCAAAGTTTGGTTTGTTCGCTCCGTTTGCCCGTTACTCTGAAGATGGTAGGCGGATGATAGACAAAGTTACACCTTCAGGGCCTTGCAGAGGGCTCTCCAAAACCTGGAAGTAAACTGCACCCCTCGGTCTGAGACAATATTACTGGGCAGCCCACGTAACCTAATGATCTCCTTTCTGAAGGTAAGTGCAGTTTCTGGCGCAAATGGAGTACCCACCATTGGTAAGAAGTAGGTCATCATGGATAGCCAATCCACTACTACTAGAATGGTAGTTAACCCCTCAGAGGAGTGGCAAGTCCACAATGAAGTCCATTGCGACCATCTCCCAAGGACGATCAGGAATGAGCAGGGGCCTCAGTAACCCCCAAGACTTGGTTTTGTCCGACTTGCTACGCAGACACACTGTGCAAGATTTCACATAGGTTCTACAGTCTTGATTCTAGTTGGGCCACCAAAAGGATCGCTGGATCAGTTCCATTGTTTTACGGGCTCCAAAGTGTCCGGCCAGTTGATGATTGTGGAAAGTCCTGAAAACTTGAGATCTTACCTCTTGGGGTACAAAGATCTTATCCTGGTGCCAAAGAAGACCATTCTGCCTTCTTAACGAGTCTTGTTTGGGTTCAGAACATAGTGCAGAGGCTTGCTTGATCGAAGACTTTAGGCTGGGTTGAATCAGAAAAAAATTTTGGGCCGACAAGATGGTTTTGGGGGGAGAAGGCTTCACTGGGTCCAGGAACATACGGGACAGAGCATCTGCCTTCCCGTTCTTGGATCCTGGGTGGTAGGTTATGTGGAAATTAAATCTGGAGAAATATAAAGCCTATCTAGCCTGCCGAGATCTTAGGCGCTTGGCGGATCTTAGATATTCCAGATTTTTATGATCCGGGAAAGTCATAATTGGGAGGCTAGCTCCATCCAAGAGGTATCTCCATTCTTCAAAGGCTATCTTGATCGCTAGAAGTTCCCAATCACCCACATCATAGTTCCTTTCGGCTTGACTCAGTTTTCTAGAGCAAAAGGCTATTGGG